TGCAAATAAACAAGGTGGTCCCCCAAAAAGATCAGGAATAGCAAATTTATACATTGGAAAGACAATCAACCAGAAAGTTGAGGTGAGCTTACTTAAAGTATGTAGACTAACACAGTTCAAGGGTATGTTATAACAGAAAACACCAAGGTTTTTACAAGGAAATTGTATAAACACCTGCACTTCCAATTCAGGAAAAGCTGGTTAAGGCATTCCTTCCTCATTAGGGGCGTTGATCGTTTTAGCAGTCCCTCGTCTGTCTGGCATTAATCAGCATGTTAACTGGGTTTAACCACGCTGACTCAGATTGTCTCTCAGGAGCCATGGAGGAGGAGGCCGTAGGTGAAACATTTTTACCAAAGTCAACATCAATAGAATATTGAGTAGAAATGTTGTAAAATTGATAGCAAACCATAGAATGTGGACTTTGATAAGGTAGAGATAATCCACAATAATATGCACTCGGGAATATCTTAGACTCTGTCCCTAAGGGATTAAATGCCTGACTGCCATGGTGTACATTTCCTAAATTATATATGGCTTTCCCTTCCTGGGCAGTGAGAAGGGAAATTCTAATATATACAGATATGTATATTATGAACTTGGATGTAGCTCTGTCTGGAGGGGAGGAGCTGTGCACTAGAGAGATGGTAAGCACTCTTTAAAATTTGAGGTGTGTTACAGATTCTATATAAAATCATATGTATATTACACATCTGTGACATATTTTATGGTTAAGAAAAATAAAAATACTTATATCACTAGACATATACAACTTGTATTAATGCTTTTAGAACATGACCCAAAACATTACCTCTTTGCTCCCCTGCTCCACCCATCCCTGGGGCTCAGAAACACTAGGGCCTCTGAGACAAAGGAGAAAGCTACACTGTGAAGATGCTGATTTTTTTTCTCTTTGCAGAGCGACAATCATGTTTGCCACTTAAAACACTCTCTCAGCTCATCTTTTTCCACCTGGGAATTCAGAAGCGGATACAATCACTGTAGCTGTGACTGTAGGAGGATGGTGTGTTAGAAGCTGGAGTGCTGTCTCAGGGTCCTGTTTGTCATCTTAAATTTAATGTTTTAGATGATTTGATTTTTAATGGGATGGACTTTGTTGTTCTATAATCCTTTGTTTAGAAGGATCTGCTTCTGTTTTTAACTTCATAAGGAGTTATAATAAAATGGCTTTTCTTCTAATGGATTATCTGTTATTTCTTAATGCACTGTGCTATGTGACACTTCACCACCTGTACAACTTGTATATGGAAGCGTCCATTGCCAGTAGTGGTTTAGTGCCTGGAGTCCAAGGTTAACCCTAGTCATCCTGAATGACACAGCCTGGGAATCTAGCTAACTTGTTTGGGACTGGTTAGAATAAATCAAAAAACTGCTGGAAACAAATGAAGTTAGAGTAAATGGGTGAACACCTTCCTGCTTCACCCACACTATTCAGTTCCAAGGGGAAAGGGAGGTAAAGACCCCGGGAAACATTCCCATTTTACCAACAGGGACCCTGATGGCCAACACAGAGACAGGCTTATTCCAAGACCACGAAAGCAGGAGGTGCTTTGACTAGTAGTCCCGTACCACCACCAAATCCAAAATTAAACTGAAATCTTTTCCATGTTCTCTGAACAGAACTGGTCCCGAATTTGGGATATGCCTCACCTTAGGTGACATTTGTAATTGTGTCCAGAAAAAAAAAAAAACCTGTTTGCAGTATTATAAATAGTATAATCACACCCACCCTCCAGGTTTCTCAAAATATCAAAATACTATGGAGCAGAATACAAGAAAAAAAAATTTTGAACAGTGAACCCAGTAAGACTCCAATATCCTAAAGCAGAACAAATATTAGTCTTACTCATTTGCTAGTGTTTCCATGACAAAGTACCATAGGCTGGCTTAAACAACAGAAATTTAGCTTCATAATCCTGGAGGTTAGAAGTCTGAGATCAAGGTGTTGGCAAGGTTGGTTTCTCTTGAGGCCTCTCTTTGGCTTGTTGATGGCCATCCTCTGTTTGTGTTTCACACCTGGTCTTTTCTCTGTGTGCATGTGTGTGTCCTAGTATGTATTCCTAATTATTATTGTAATCTCAGGACCCAGAAATCAATTGATCCTACTCTATAGCATAGTCAACTAGTATCATTCATCTTTGTGAAAACCCTCTAATTGTATTATTTTCCTTTTATCCCATTCCTTGATTCCTAATGGTCACCCTTAAAAGTGGTTAATGTACATCCTTCCATACTACTTTCCAAGTGTTTTTTACATATGTGCAAATGTGAAAAATATATCTTATTGTATGTTTATAAACAATGTAGTGCTATAGGCCTTAAGGGTTTTTCTTGTGTTTTTTTATTTATTTTTATTGTATTTTTCCATTACCATTTATCTCCCTCATACCCTCTTCCACCTAAATTCACCTCCCTTTAACCCCTGTAATCACCACACTGTTGTCAATATCCATGAGTTCTTTATTTCACCTTTCTGTGTGGAGCTAAATCCATGTTTCTAAGTAAAATCTAATCTATTCCTCTTTACTGTTGTACTGTATTCCCTACAATTCTTTCCTGCCTCTCTGAGTTCCAGGAACCATGACCCAATTCTCTCAAGCACTCAGAATGCCTTTTGTATTACTTTCCTATTTCTGCATAACAATCACCACAAATCTGGCAGCTTAAAGCAATACCACTCATTGCCTCACAGATGTGACATCAGAAGCCCAAGTGGGCTCAGCTGGCTTCTCTACTTAGGGTCCCATGGGGCCAAATCACAATGTTGGCCAGGCTGGGCTCTTATCTACAGATTCTGGGAAAGAAGAGGCTTCTGAGTTCATTTGAGCTGTTGGTTGAATTCCGTTCTAATCTCATTAAATTTGCAGAAAGACCTTTGTCTTATCCTTTGTATCTGTGACGTGAGTTAACATTTAAACACATTTTGTTCTAAAACAAAAACTCATAAGCACAGACAACAGTATAATGGTTACCAGAGGAAAAGGGGGGTGGGGAAAGGTTAATAAAGGGTAAAGGGGGTCAAATATATGGTGATGGAAGGAGATTTGACTTTGGGTGGTAAATACTCAATGCAATATACAGATGATGTATTATAGAATTGTACACTTGAAACCTATGTAATTCTATTAACAAATGTCACCCCAATAAATTTAATTAAAAAAAAACAAATAAGCACTTGTTCTAAAATTTTTCTTAACTCATTTAGTTATTAAAAGTCCTAGGAGGGAGATATTACATATTTTATTCCCATTTTACAGATAATCATGTGATACATGGAAGAATTAAAAAATCAGCCCTAAGCCACACGCTAGTAAGTGAAATGCAATCTGAATGGAATTCAGACTCTCAGATAAGAATTCAGACTCAATATTGGTTTAAAAGTAGGAGATCGAGGGAAGAGAGTTTTAGGGGAAAAGGGTTTACAGGAACAAGTATAAAGGACACATAGACAAAAACTAGGGGGGTGGAAATGGGAGGGAGGTGGGGAGGGCTGGGGGGGTTGGCTGGGATGGGAGTAAAAGACAGAAAACTGTACTTGAACAACAATTAAATAAAAAATAAAAATTAAAAATTAAAAGTAGGAGTTCGATACAATTGCTAATATTGAAGAGGGTCCCTGGTGTTAAGATGTGCTTAATTAACTGGCAGATAAGAACCACTCACTCATCTTTGTGAAAGTTCTGTCTCAACTCATTTTTCCAACCTCATCTCCACTCACAAGAGGTTAAACTAAAATAATTCTAATGTGCTATCAGGCATAAACTAGCAGAATCATTGTATAAGCAGGGACCCCCTCAAAATGAAATTATCTTCTGCAGGGTAGGCCACTTGTAGTAGAGGTTTCCCCTTCTAGGTGAGTGTTCTAGGAACCCATCTGTATCAGTGTCCCAGATGGCATTGGTGTAAGAGGCTGCATTCAGCTTTGGTGAATGTTTTTTGAAGATTCTTTCAACACATTTACCCATTTTCATGATGGGTGACTTATGAGTGCACCTGTCTACACCACACTGAGTGTTCAGCAGTTTTTGACCAAAAAAAAAAACCAGCATGACCCTGTACCCCACCCTCCTTATTCACCCAATCTTGTCCCAGGCAACTTTTTTTGTTTCCCTGGAAGAGAAAAAAAGTCCTCAAAGGGAAAAACTTTTTGCCAGTATGGAAGAGTTGAATCAAAAAACAGCAGAAGCACTAATAGGCATCAAAATCAACAAGTTCAAAAACTGTTGTGAGCAGTGGGAAAAATGTTGCGATTGGTGTATTGCATCAAATGGAGAGTACTTTGACAGTGACTGAAGTTTAAACATGTAAGAATAAATACACAATTTTATATAAATAAATTCTGGGTTTTTTATTTGGGTACCCCTCTCATAAGTGATTTTTTAAAAGGTTTTATTTTATTTTATTTTTTAGAGAGATAGGAATGGAGGGAGAAACAGAGGGAGAGAAATATCAATGTGTGACCCCCACTGGGGACCTGTCCCACAACCCAGGCATGTGTCCTGCCTGGGAATCGAACCAGCAACCCTTTGATTTGCAGCCCTCAATCAATCCACTGAACTACACCAACCAGAGCCCTCATAAGTGATTTATTGAACAGCTACTTACAGCAGGGTGGGTGACAATGACCTTCCACACCAACCTCACAGGATGGGCCTGATGTGAGTTCAGCACTCAGACATCAAGAAGTATAGCCACAAAGACACAGCATGTTTTATTTGTAAAATCAACTCCACATAAAAATTATATATAGATACCCACCTGTCATAAGAGAATATACAAGGGCTACATTGCCACTTTGCTAAAACTCACACTTCTTAAAATAGAAGAAATATTAGGCACTATCACAACACATCTGGAAGTTATTCTAGATGGCATCCCAGGAGGTGGCATAGATAAGTCCCTAAATCTACAGTGATTGGTTTAAAAACTAGATTTAAGAATTCTATAAATCACACTTATCAAGATTGCTACAGAATAACCTAAAACACAGACACATTGGCATTCTCATAGGCTAAAGAATGAGGCCTTTTAAGTAGAAGTGAGTGATGAGGTGGCTTCACCTGCAGAAGAAAAAGACAGGTAGTTAATGAACAGCTACAATGTTGCTACCAGCAAATTTGGTACAGAAAACCCAACTGACTACTCTTTGACCAATGAATATTGAGCACCTACTATGTGTCAGCTGTTAGATGGGAAGGTGGAGGAGATCGAGTCACATGGCAACTTTTATCCCAGTACACAAGCACTATTTAAAGTGAATGGTTTGATCATCAACCCAGATTACATTTAAACCAGGTGGAGATTTAGCTCATTTGACTCAATAACTGCAGTGAGAGAAGATTTATCAATAAGACCACAACATATGTGGACACTTACAGAAGGGGCACTTTTTTCAAACATGATTATAATTAATGTGGGACTTATCACCTAGCTAGACACTATCTAAACTAAAATTTTAAAAAAACTAATAAGCAGAGACTTGAGCTTTGTCCTTCCTTCTATCAACCACATTGTTGCTGCCTGTTCTAAGGATCTTACCCAGGGGTCTTGGAAGTATGGAATCCAAGGCAATCCGAACAAGCAAGTATTAGGTAAGTTCGAGAAAAGACCAGATTTGGCAGGGGGAAGGTCATTGTTGGACTCTGTAAGTCTGTTGTCAGTGGTGCTTGGAGTGGTATCTAAAAAGGATGAGCCAAAAGTTTTAAAGAAAAGAAAATTTGCCTATCAGGTTAAATGTTAAAATAAGCCACTAAGTCTCATTTTAACCTGGCTGATTGCTGCCTACCCTACTTAAACAGTAGTGGCTTTGCCGCCAACCCTCCCCCCACCACCACCACCCTGTCCCCTAATTGATTTTTTTAGTAATAACACAATTAAGAGTTTCCCCTCCAAATGGGTAAATGGTCATGGAAAAAAAATACGGTTAAAATTTTAAGAAAAGAAAAGAGTTCCCCACTCCCCCTGCCAACACCCTATTCCCCAATCAAGAATGTTAGGTCTGATACCTTTATGCAGAAGTTCCCAAAGACAACCCTCCCAAGCATAGAGCAGGAGTCATAGAGTTTTTAGATTTACCATTAGAAGTAGAACATAATCAACAAAACAAACAAGCGAGCAAAATAGAACCAGAGACATGGAAATGAAGACAGAACTGACAGTGCCCAGAGGGGTTGGAGGAGAAAGATGTTCGGGCAAAGAAGGGGAAAGGTCAAGGAACATGTATAAGGACACATGGACCAAGACATGGTCGGAGGGAGTGAGCATTGAATGTGGGTGGTGGGGGTGGGGTAGGGTCGGGGAGAGTGATGGTGGAAAAATGGGAACAACCATAAATGAACAATTAAAAAAATAAACAAATAAATAGCAACAACAAGAATACATACTAGAACACTGAAAGTTTATATCCTCAAGGTATAAAAAAAGTTTAGTAAATTTTCCCAAAAGCCATAGGGTCATAGTATCCACATTAAACAAGCACCCTAATTTCTTTTTTTAAAAAAAGAACACTAGTTTTTCAATCCAATAATGCCCATTCGAGTGTACAGGTTTATGTAAGTTACCACAATTAGAAACATTAGGTCTTATATAGAAGAAAGAGTTATCCACCTTAGGTCAGGATTAATTTTTTTAAATGTTTGACCATGAAGAGTAGAAACTGAATGCTTTTGTCACCATTCCTATCTTCCCAAGCATCTCCTGATCCTCAGAGGGGCAACTGTGCGACAAGGAGTGTTTAGGCCCTCACTTGCCATCTCCTAACTACATGACCTTCAGCATTTCAACCTCTGAGCTCTATTAGCCCACTGTACTGTCCCAGTAGGATCCCCACAAGCAGAATCTGACCAGAAGATTTAAATACAGGTGATTTATTCTAGAAGTGCCCCCAGTAAGGCAATGGGGAAGCAAGAGAGGAAAATGAAGATAAGAAAAGTGTGCTATTTCAGGCAAAGTCCTTGCCTCAGCCAAAACTGCAAGAGAGCTCCAAAGTCAAATGCTGCCTCACGCTTCGTCCTTGAATCAGGCAATAGAGTCAGCTTTCTTACAAATTCCACTCAATCATAGAGGCGGGGAGAATTTCATCAACTCCCAAGGCCCAGTTGAGGTTATTAAAGGCCCCACTGCCCAGAAGCAAGGTGAGAGGCACACAGAAATGGAGAGGATGACCCAAATGGGCCTGGGCAGAGCATGTGCAATGACAAATGACACAGAGAAGTATTTCGTTGGACAAAGGAATTGTTCAAACCAGCGTCAGTCCAGGACTCCAGCCCAGCTGAGCTTCATTTTCCAAATGTTTGACTTTTAACAAGCACTGCTTAGAAAGCGAACTGTGAACCAATTGGTCCATTAAACTCACCTGGAAACAAAGCACATTAAGGGAATTCTTCCAGTGACTCCTTTGTGAATGATGGTATAGTGGAGAGCTAAATAAAAAAAATCACTCCATAAGAGCAAACCTAATGGGGCAAAAAGACCTTTTTAATACCACCTCACGCGGGGGTTTTAATGAAATCTGGACAGGGAACAGATCACATCAAGATGTAAGGTCTTTATACTAAAGTCTCTTCAGGGAGCATCAAGAAAACACCAAGTCAGGCTCTACCAGGGGTGTCGAACCCATGGTCCCTAGGCCACATGCAGCCCAGGATGGCTATGAATGCAGCCCAACACAAAATCATAAATTTACTTAAAGTTTTTTACTTGAAAAATCAGTGTATTCTTCCCTGATGCATCATGAGCTCTTCAAGACCAAATCCTGGGTCCCCATTGGTCTTTATCCTAAAAGCACCAAATTCAAGTGTCATAAAAATGAGCAGGCTCTTCATCTTTGGCCTTGACTGTACCTATCTTGCACTGACTGTAAGCATAGCACCATTGCAAGCTAAGGTCAGGCTGACATTCAGGGGTTAGGTTATTATTTGAAATGGCCACAACTCTTACCTCTTTCTGAATGCCACACTCAGTGACCAGGTACTTAAACTCATATCCCTTCTTAGGGATTATGTTGGTTACAGGACAGCCAATTCCCAGAGACATTGTGTCAGAATGCAAAAAGTGGTCTTGACCAAGTAGAGTCAGTTCAACCACAGCCCAGAACATAGAAGTACATCCTACAGACACTGTTGAAAGAACACCCCCAAAAAAGATTCAGATAAAAATTTTAGTTCTGGAGGACACTCAAGAGAAAATCTGTGCGTAGTCTCTTAATAAACTAATAAGTAACCCCTGGAACACCTCTGAGAGATGCAATGCGATCATTCAGATGAAGTTGTAACCGCTGTGAGTGAAAAATTAACATCAGATCAGGCTCACGCAGGTCTATCTGGGGACAACCTTCATTTCCTCCTCCCAGCACCATTTCCTTAAAAACTACAGAGTTAAGCTAAACATGTGATGCTGTCTCTGCTTCACTTGTGGTGTGGGACTGCTCCCAGAGAGGGGGAGCCTTGAGCTGGTGTGTCGGCCTTGGGTCTACAGGATGAGGCCAGTATAAATGATCAGTGGGAAGCTTCTGGCCCTCGTCTATAGCAGCCACACACCTTTTGTAGGTGAAGGAACAAAGGAAACCATATGTTTGAGCAACTGCTGGTCTTCCTATGAAATGAAGATCTGTACCTGTTATGTCTCCTGCTCTGTATCCTTCTCTAAAGCAAAATGAAGAGTATCTTAGCTTAAAGCCTGCTCATGCCTGGTGACTGTCAAATCGACTCATTAGCCACAGCTGTGGTGCCTCATTTACTCTCTTACCAGGGATAAATTCTAAGTTTTCAAATAGAGATGCAGAGATTTGTTCTACAGATAAGCTATCTAACACTGTATTTTCATGATTGAGAAGTATTAGAAATGACAAAATTAACATTAAGTTTACTTTGTATGTAGTACTTCTATCCAGTGACATTTTTAGTAAAGAAGAAATAAATAAGTTACATGAGAACAGATCACTGTAAATTAAGCCACAAGTAGAACACATAGGGTAAGTGGGTTACAAATAAGAGATATTAAAAGATAACTTTATGATGTGGGAAAAATAAGAAGTGAGAAGAGGAAAAATGGAGAGCTCTGTTTCCACAACCTGACTTAGAGCTAACACTCAACTGCTTAGGAGAGGGCAGGGGTGACCAGAAGTGGGGGGCTGGATTGGGAGCAGATCACTGTGGCATAATGGAAGAGCAGCCTGAAACTTAAAGTTGGGAAATCTCTTTCCCCAGGTGGGATGATGGGAGGGAAAGCCACACAATGGGAAATATGTATATCTAGGAGGAAGAATATAACCATCTCTTTCCCAAACATAAGATAAACTAGATAAATCACTTGCTTTGGAGTATGGGGGCAGGGCATGGAAAAGGGGAAAGGAGAAAGCAGTTAGAAAAATAGGATGGTGAGTCGTTGCTCCTGAAAGTAGCAAATAGTGACAGCCAGCAGCCTCAAAGAAATCACACCTTCAAACAACAAAACAGGTACCTGACTCTTGCTCAGAAAAAGCCAAAATCATGCACAAAAATAAGCATTGTAACTCCACAAAATCCTTCATGGTTTTGGTCATCAGCTTGAGAAACTCGGGAAATTGGAAGCACCTGACCTGCTCTGGGTAATTTTGTAGCCAATGCCACACCCAGCTGACTGCATTTCCAAATTACTTTTTGCTGATTGCTTTTATTTTTTAGGGATGTGTATTGGGTTTTTCCTGATTCAAATTGCTTAATGTCTGAAAAATATGGAGAGTACATAGAACACAATTAAACACTCTTTATAAAAGTGGCCATTTTAAAAAATATTTCCAGAAAGTCTTCCTTCTCCCTCCTGAATCTGGACACCTCAGGACCACTCCAGTACCAAAATCAGGGCTGCATATGCAATGCCACTGGCAAATCTTTGAGACCTGTGACTCCTCCACGCCCTCTGAAGTTCCTGCCGAAACAAAATGTTCAGGAGGGTCAATGCCTGTTTATAAAGTGTCAGGGAGTGACATTCAGGGAGATATTTTGAGACTGGTTTTTAAACACAATCACTGTCCAAATCACCTGCTGGGCATGTGGAAACATGGGTTGCTAGGCTGTGTCCTGGAGGTTTTTATTCAGGGATGGTGTGGAGCCTGAGAATGTGAATTTCTGAAAGTTCCCAGGGGATGCTGATGCCCCCAGTGCCAGGACCACATTGTGAGAACCACTGACTCAGATACTCTCCCTGCAGAGAGCACCCAACATTATCTGGAGTGTTATTTAAAAACACAGATGTGTTAGCCCCACTCAAGTCCAGGGGCACCTGCTGTAGCTGGAAGCTTTAGAGTGCACGTGAATCACTGCAGTTTCTTGTCAAAAATGTCAGTTCCCACAGTTTAATATAGAGGAACAGGGCCCAGGAATAGGCATTTTTACCAACTGCCCCAGGTGAACTGTGGTGGCTCACATTTCAAGAAACCTTGAACAGAGGTCCTGGGGACTTTTCATGAGAGAAGGAGTGAGACAGGCCTCCAACTCCAGTTGTTTTCATTTCACTCTCATCTGTTTTATAGTAGAGCCTTATTTTAAAAAACCCACCAATATTAGAAATCCTCTGTGTCCTTTGACATGTAAGATCATAATTTTAAATAAGACATCAGATGTGCCTAGACTACTCTATAAATGTCATCTTCAATGAATCAACCGCCACGGGCCATGGAATCACGGCCACGGCTGTGGGTTGGGGGAGCGCAGTGGAGTGGAGACAGATGATGGCACTCGCCACATGGAAATGTTCCAGAAGGGCATTCCGAGGAATAAACAAGTGAATCCAAATCTTACTTCACTTCATGTACTCTCTTGGTATTTCCAACATCGACCTGACAGAAACACTGTAAAACATTTGTGCTAGCAGTCATGGTCATTTGAGGCTCTGGAGTGACCTAAAAGAACAGAGAGACCAGTCCAAGTAGCATGACATTGGGGCAAATTCCAGAATCAACAGTCTGAACAAAGCCTTTCAATAAGGGGGGAAAAATAGCCTTCACTCAAGGTAGCATTTCACTCCTTCCTCCCAGTTTTAGCCTCTTCTAGACAGCCATATATGATAACGGGGGGGAAAAAAGATGGGATAAATCAGTTGCCACCATGCCATTTTTTGTCACCCTCTGACATGGAAAGAAAGGGTCTCTGCTCAGCAATCCATGCTTTTGAGGGCCTCACTCTGGCTTTCTCCATCGTGCCTTTGCTTGGGGAAAAAGGTATATTGGACCAAGAGGTAAAGCCCCCAGAATTCCCTGCCCAAACAGCCCTGAGCTCACCCTCAAGGCCTACACAAGACCCTCCCCTGGGTCTGCCCTCCCAAGTTGTGTACTCTGCACCCAGTGAGGAGCCAAGGGGCAGTTGCCTCCTAGAAATGTGAACAGAGCTTGGACGCATCATCTGTAGTGCCCACACACATGCACATGGGTGGGAGGGCCCTTACAGCACAGGCCAGAGTGGGGTTGGGAAGGAGGGAGACACTGGGCCATGGGCTGTGGGATGGGGAGCGCAGTGGAGTGGAGACAGATGATGGCACTCACCACATGGAAATGTTCCAGAAGGGCATTCTGAGCCTCTGAGAATTCTGAATTAAAATCTGTCTTTCTATCTCATAATGAACATTGGCTTGTCAAAACAGAAGGGCAGGGCAGATCTTGCTTAAGAGTTTCTTCAACTCATTTATAACTTTTACATAGAGATATGATATACGTGCCTCCACTTATACCCTTGTTCCAGCCCCCATACATGCAACGCAGGAGTAGACCTGAGGCCATTTGTGCTCAGCTCATAGTAACTTGTTTTGGGCCACAACTCCTGATCACCCTAAGAGCCCTGAGGACCCTGTCTTGCTCTCCTGATAAGCCTGGAGAAACTTGGGTTTTACTAGACATTTTGGTGCTTGGCTCATTTCTCCATAGTCACCCTCAGTAAGTCAAGCAAACAACCAGAATCACATAAATATTACATATCAGCACAAAGAGGCAAAAGAAAAGGAGTGTACATTATCTCAAAGTGGATCTGCTTAATTAGATAAGGAAGTGCTGAGTAGAGGACTCTAACATATTTAATAGTTGGGTGACCTTGACTCTAAACCCCAGATGCTTCCATCCTGAGTTCTCTCTCAGTCCTGATGGAAGTTACCTCAATAGCTTACTTTTCTAGTTTGCTCTTGTATAAACTTATAATATTTACTCCAATAAGATTATCTACTAATATGTGTCATTAATTAATCATCTGGCTCTGGATCTGAGGAGTTTCCTTCCAGCAAACATTTGGCAACCTCTTATCTAGCAAGCATTTTGTGTGGTACCATAGGAAATACAAGAGCAAACAAGAAAGACTTACCCTTACCTTTGAGGAACTCATGGTCTGGCAGGAAGACACACATTAAGCAAACACAGTTAAGATATAATTCTGCAAATAACTGATTGCACTTCTCAGAAGTGCCAGGACAGTAGATCACAGGAGGGCATAACCAGGTCTGGGGGTGCAGAGAGAGCATCCCTGAATAAGTGGTTTACTCTGAAGGAGGAGTGGGCTTTTTGAGGAGACAGGAAGCAGCACCACCTGAACGCAAGCATTCAAGTTAAGAAAATCACTTGTGCAAGTGAGCCTTGAGGCAGGAAGGAACTTGGCACAATAGAAGAGCACAATCTGATGGTCAGAAGATAGTGAAATAAATGCTGAAGAGACAGGCAAGGGTCAGAAGGTTTTTGGAGATCACATTTAAAATATGGAGTTTTATTCAAAGTGCAATGGACACCTCCAAGGTCTTAACCCAGAAGCAAATAATCTGAATCTTGGTTTGGAAGGTCACTGTGGGTGTGAGACCATATTCAGAGTCCCCAGACATTGCCCCCAGAGTTGCAGGCATATTTTCAATTCCATGAGGATCTGAATAATTAAAAAAAAATTACCAGGGCAATGAAATATCTCTTCTGCAAGAAAAACTCAAAACTGACATTTTCCTAGAGTCAAAGTCTTAGGGTAGTCTGTGTCTAACTCTATTCCTTGTGAATTCCTTTCCTTTCGAAGTGGTGTATTCATTAATCAAGTTTGGGAAATGCTGCTCCAGGAGTTAGATGGAAAGAGGCCAAGAGGAGGGGGCAAGTGGCTAAAACAAAAATGTGGAAGTAAAGAAATTATGGTAATTTAGACCAGAGTAATGACGGCGAAGGCAGAGGAACAGACTGGCTCCAGAAGGTAGAATGTTTGACACTGGAGACGGATTAGCTCAGTGGCTGAGGGAGTCAGGTATCAGGTTTGACCATCAGATTTCTAGTTGATACAAATCAGTTGTTGGTTATTGAGACAATACGAATTAAAAATTACCTACTGCCTGTCATATACTAGGTGCTATTCCAGTGCCCTTATGGTAATTCATAAAATTCTCACAAAACCTTAGGAATGAAGAACTATTATTATCTACATTTTATTGGTAAGGAAACAGACTCACAGAGGTTAAAGACTTATATAAGGCTGTTTCTGCATCTCTAGCCAGGACCACGGTCAGTGAACCAGCCTAGTCAGGATACAACAGGGGAAATGCCAGGCCAGGAAGAGGAATTCGAGTTAGCTAATTCTGCACTTGACCTTGTGTATATACAAGCTTTTCTCTGTTGGTGTGCCTTCTTAATACAGCCCTCCTCAGCAGCTCCACTGGGGTTTCACAACTTCATACCTAGAACACGAAATTTCCACAGAACTTTTGTCCATGGGTGGCTATATCACATATTGTCTCTGTGGGGGGCATTGGGGGTTGGGGGTGTGAGCAAGGGACCTCCTATTCCATCATCTTGCTGACCCAGAGCAAATATTTTAAAACTAACCTGATAGTATTCGCTAAAAGTTCTTGGAAGAACTGAGAGACAACGTTTCTCACATGTAGCATGTGGCATCTTGCCTGGCACAGCCAAAATCCATATTCATCATGTATTTTTATGGTTATCCTTCTTGCCTGGAAATTCTCAGGGCATCTGTCTTAGGAGAAAATCATCGGATGAAAACCACTCTGCCTCCCATGTGCCAGGCTCCCCTATACTGCCTGCTCTGATTTTAGGCTTAGAACTTCTGCTTTCACACTTAAGTGTTGTAAGCCCTTGCCACATCAAATCTAATGTCCCAGGACACATAAAAAAATAACAACAGTGGGATGGAAAAGAGAGAAACATTACTGAAAATGGTCATTCACCTAATTTATTCTCATTGGGATGAAGGCAAGCAACAAATGTGAACCCTGAAGGTTTGGTATAGGAAACAAATTATTTCCTCATTCTCCCTGACTGTACCTTTCCAGATTTCTTCCCGGTTTGTCATATTACTTGGAAAAATATACTTGACCACACCTACCTGAATTGCTCAATATTTGCTTGAGTAAAAGACTCTGCGGCAAACTGAAGCAAGAGCTCTCATTATCTTCTGTCCGTCACCCAATAAATAGCCAGGCTAGTCCTCCCTCGCCTTCCCAATACACTGCTGGAGAGATGAGACAGTCACACCAGCTGCCCCTAGTGGGGCTCCTATTGTTTTCTCTTATTCCAAGCCAACTATG